TTTGCAAACTGAAGAGCAAAGGGAGATAAATATGAAGACAGAGCTGTTCTGCCTGACCTTTGGTTTGGACTCAGTCCTCATATTTCCCTCCCCTTATGGTTTTGATCTATTGGCTACTTTTAAAATGAGGCTGCATTTTAAATTGCATTTTAACATGTATTTTAAATTGGTTTCCCCCCCATATGTTTTTACTGTAATTTTACTGGTGTTAGCCACCCTGAGCCCGGCTCTGGCTGGGGACGGGAAGGGTATAAATTATTATTGTTGTTGTTGTTGTTGTTGTTGTTGTTGTTGTTGTTGTTGTTGTTATTATTATTATTATTATTATTATTATTAATTTACCAAGTAGCTTGGGGGTAGGCTGGGGGTGTCCATTGAACAATATCAACTGAGGGCCAAACTGATTGATCTCAGCAAGGCAGGGGGCATGGGCGTAGCCAGGATTTTTGTTGGGGGGCAGAACCGACATGATTGGTTAGTTTTCTATTGTTTTACTTGATCCGGGGGGGGCAGCTACCCCCCTGGCTACCCCCATGACAGGGGGTGGGAGGGGCAATGATGGGGAGAAAGCATACAACTGCCCCCCCCACTATTTTCCAAATCAGGTTTGCTCCTTCTCACCTGCTACTCTTTGGCCTACTGGTGGAAAATACTTATTGAATTTATATCCCGTCCTCCCTCCCCAAGGAGCCCAGGGCAGCAAGACAAGCAGAGGCTGGGTGGGGGAGAGGATTTTGATTGGAGGAAATGACACGGAGGAAATGATTAAGCATCTCCTTCCTTTCTGTCTCTGAACAAATTTCATACCCACCAATATTCCTCAGATAAAATAGGGACATTTACACCTGAGGAATGTTGGAGGGTCTGCTGCCCCTTTGGCGTCTGCGGTTTCCCCCCCCCAGGAGTTCTCACTCACCCCAACTGACCCTCCTCTGTCCCCCATTTTTTGTCCCACCCCCTCAGAACATTTCCTGTCAGAAGAAGGGCAAATGCCACCACCATTACACCAATGGGACATACAGTACACTGTCGTGAGAAAAGCCCTTAATTCCGATTTTATTTTATTCTTTGGTGTATTTACAAAGAGAATAGCACAAACCAATAAAATTTTTTAGAAAGGGACAAGATTAGACATGGACATGGATTTTTAAATATATTTTTTAAAATGAAGACTCCTTGAGCGTCTCTCCCCCTTTCCTCCCGCCCAGTGTGGTCCTGCCCTCTGCCCACATCTCAAGGCTGGCACGTCACACAGGGCTGGGCCTCTGGGGTGGCAGCTTCTCTTCCTCTTTGCCCACTCTCCAGCAGACATTACAAGCTGCCCAAGAGAGGAGGCCAACAGCAGTGGCCATGGGAGGCCATGGGTTGCTCTTTCGCAGCTGCCACTGCCGCTTCTGCTCATGGCAAGCACCAGCTCAGCTTCTTCTCTGGGCTCAGCAGAGGTGAGGGAAACGGGGACATTCCAGGATCAAATTGGAAGTCGGAATGGCTTCTGCAGTGGCGGAGCTTCATGCTCCAGCACGGGGGGGGGGGCAGAGAGCAGGTGGGGGGGCTGGTGGCACGTCCTGGGGGTGTGTCACATTGCTTGCAGGGGTGGGGCACCCAGCGCAGGGGGGGGCAGCTGCAATGGCACCCTGCCGGGATCGCACTGCCAGGGGTGGTGCGCACCCCTGCACTCCTCTTCCTCCGCCAGTGGGCTTCTGCAATTCTGGGACTATCCCTGGAAAACAGGGACACTTGAAGGGTATGAGACCAGTTCATTGCACTGGTTCTGAAATATAAGATTACTTGCGCAGAGCTGGTTCCAAGGGTGTGGTTTGACCTTACCTGTTTTTGCATATACGCACCATCCCCAGAACATAAGCCCCCCACAAGTTGCAACTCCACTTTATATGAAAACCATTTCACATGCCACACAGATACTGACAGGGCCCACCAGTGGCGTAGCGTGGGGGGTGCAGGGGGGGCCGGCCGCACCGGGCGCAACATCTGGGGGGGCGCGGAAGAGACTCGAGTGCTAAAATTCATGGGTTAGGGGGCGCAAATTACTTGCCTTGCCCCGGGTGCTGACAACCCACGCTACGCCACTGGGGCCCACTAAGCAAAATATGGAGGTCACAGTACAGGGTTGGTGGCTGCAGGTCCTGGTGGCCCCCCCTTGGCAGTTCAACTGCACTTCCTTGACTGTTAACCTCAGATTAATTTGCGAGCAACTTTCCAAGGTTCTCTCACTCCAGCCACAGAAATGCTGGGCCCGGTTCCTCGTTAGTCATCTCTTGGCTCTGCCTTGTCCTTTGCTAAGCACATCTAGAAACAGTTCTCCTCACTCTGCTTTTTTAAAAAAATCATTTAAATTGCCAGGCAAACTCTCTTAGAAGAAAAGGGCACTGAAAAAAGAAGAATGCATGTTGTTGTTGTTTTCTCTTGCTAGCATCAGGCAGCCAAATCCTGTGCACATCTGCTCAGAAGGAAGTGTTCTGTGGCACTTGCTCACAGGTAAGTGTGTACAGGATCACACCCTTTTAAGTCCAATGTAAATGTGCAGAGGACTGAAGCCCTTAAAATGCAACCAATCAGTGTGCTTGGATTTATAGTTTTCCGAACAGACCTATACAACTGAGTGCAGGCGCACTGGTAGGTATGTAAATAGTTCAGCATACAGGCTCATGACACACATTTGCATAGAATTAGCATGTGCTAATTTATATGTATTGGTGCAAATTTACGGTGACTTTTAGAGTGGGTGGGTGGGGTGAACTCTTGCTGTTGGGATTTACCCTGAACCAGGAGTGCAATCTAGGAGGGGCTGAGGGGCCCCCTCAATATTCTGTGGTCTGCAGTGGGCCTTGTGGGGCTTACCTATGGCTGTGGTGGGCCTCATGGCTTCCTCCCATCTTGTGATGTCACATGTGTGCTGGGAACCCACAAAGTTGGGCGGGACCTGGCACCTGTGCCCTGAACTGGGCTCTGCCAACAGATTTTCTGGATCCAGGAAGGACACCATGTGCAGATGGTTTTATTTATTTGTTTCGTGCATTCTGTCCCACCCTTTTCCCTCCAAGGAGCTCCAGGTGGCACACATGGTTCTCTCCCCAGCTCATTTAATCCCCAGAAGAACCCTTTAAGGTAGGTTTAGCTGAGAGGCAGGCACTGGTCATCTGGGCCACCCAGTGTTGTGATTTGAACCCTGGTCTCCCAGGTACACTGCAATGGTCCTCTGTCCTGCCTGCCACCAAGGACTGTTGCTTGTACAGAACTAAGTCAGGGGCTCCTGGGAAAGGGAAGATGATATGTGTCTGAGGTTTCCCCAGTCCTGCGCTTTGTCACCGGTCCAGTTGCCAGGGAGGAAAAATAATGTGACCCTTAAAAAGGTAAGGGGTAAGAAAAGGTCTGGGGCACAGCCCCCTTGGTCTGCCCCTTAACAATGCTCCAAGAAGAAAGAAAGGCAGACTCGTAGAATTGCATCTTTGTACACATACCTTGTCTGGAGAACTGCACTGCAAAATTTGGAGAAATGCTAATTTTGAAGAAGAGTTGTTTTGCGTCAGTTATCATTTCAGAAAGTTTGAATTAGGTAAGTCCACATCTAAATGGGAACCTAGACAAAGTTTCCAAAGTTAAAACCAGGCTCAAGGCGGCTTACAACATACAGCAAATTCCACAACTACAAATATAACAAAAGTAGTAATAAACATCAAAAAGTACACAACCAAATTGAACAATTTCCACCTAATTCATAAGATCCAAACTAAGATACAAAAAATCAACAGCTACAACCCCGAGAGCAACAACGACCCCTAAGCAATGCTCCAGCCCAAGTCTAGCAGTATGTAGAAGGATCGGTGCCAGCTTGGAAATGGAAGAACCTTGCCCTTTGGCAGGGCTATGTGGACTCTGGTTATTGCAGAGAAGATACAAATCATGTGTTTCTAAGAGCAGTGAAGACCTGGGGCAGTTCTACGCTGTTTGGTGGGTTTCGTTTCCTACGCTCCAGATTTAGAGATACAAAATTCTCTTCCCCCACCCAATCACAAAACCCAGCTAAATCAAGGCGTGTTTCGCTGCCTTTATTTTCCTACATTTCCTCTACTTATTTGGAAAATACCTCTCTTTTTGTAACTTTAAGGTTATTGTTTGTGATTTTAACAACAGCAAGAGCATCTGTGACTAAATTTTGGAAACTGTTTGATTGAAACATTATTAACATTATTAACAACCTAAAAGTGCAGCATTTTTAGTTTTCCAAGTCTGGCAAATGGCTCTGGGTGGGGGGATCCCATAAATTAAAAGCTGCTAGAGAACGCAGTACAATTGACAGATCTTTTTTGCAATATGGTATGATTTTATTTCATTGACAAATGAAGTTCATCATGGCCAGGTGGCCTCTCCTACCTGTACCAAGGTGTGGATCTTGAGAGATTTTACTCTAGTGAGTTTATGCTTCTTTTAATTTGTTGGAATTATCAATAGTATATGTGGAAACAGTGCTCTTAGACTTTCATTCTGCTTTTTTGCAGGTAAATTGATGAGTTTGAGACAATAATTGCTCGTACAGCAGCCATTGTAACCATCTTCATTTCCTTGCTGGAAGTTACGATTTATACACCTCTTGAGTGTAAAAAACAACAGCAAGTACTGTACTTTGCAAAAAAAGATACCAACAATAATTTAAAACATTCGAAATATCAACAGTAATCAGAAGACAGATTAAATCAGGCATCACCATTACATCTGGGTGGGCTCTGAGTGATTTCACTCGGGGTGTCCTTCCTTTGCTGTAATTTAAAAATCAATTAAAAATGTTGCACTTTGGGGTTCTTAATAATGTCAAAAATAGTAACTGTTTTTTTAAAACTCTGAAACATTTATGGGGCGGAGGGAAGCTGGTTCAAGCCGGGCCGGGTCGGGGGCCTCCTGCCCGCCCTCCCCGCTTCCCTTCCCGAGGCGAGGCTGAGTCAGAGGCGGCGGCGGGCCGGGCGGGGCGGGGCGGGCCGGCTCGGCTCTGGAGGGCGGCGCCTGCCGCGGCCGGAGACGCGCGGGACCCGCGGCTGCTACAAAAACCCCACCCCGCCCGCCTCTCGCCCGTGCTCAGCCGGACTCGGAGTCTGCAGCCGCCGCCGCCGCCTGCTCGGTAAGTCTCCCGGGGCGCTGCATCCGGAGCGGCTCCGCCTGGATTGACTCCGAAGTGATCTGGATTGAATCTGGATTGACTCCGAAGTGAGGCGGCGGGAGAATTGCACTGCCTTGGTGCGCTTCCATGAGAAGTCAGTCCCGTTGAGTTCAGTGGGACTTACTCTCGCGTAAGCGCGCTCGACTCAGCCTCTCCTTTATCGGGGGGGGGGGGCTGCGTGTGTCTGGTGGGCAAAGGTTTGCCCTGCAAAGGAGCTCGGGGAGGATTGGGGCCGCCGTAGAAACCGGCGGGGCTGCGACGGCTGGGAGTGGCCCTCGGTGCGCTTCGGAGAACGTCTCCATAGGATCGGGCGTTTAGGCTGACGTCCTACCAATCCTGACTTGTCGGGATGCCATGCGTCCTGAATTTTCCGGACATTAACGGGATTTCAAAAGCATAATTGACGTCCGGGGAGGAATTCCCGAAAGGTGGTGCTTCTTTGTCCTGGATCTTAGGAAGTCAGTCGCCTTCCTGAAAAAAGCTCAAGAACTTTCGAGGTGTCCTGGTAACTCTGTAACTTGGGAGCCAGAGTCTCATGTGCGTGAAGTGTGCAGGGACACTGTTATGTACTGAGTATATTTCAGACACCCAACTGTCAAAGCAGAAATGCAAAATAGAAAAGGTTTCTCGGCTGTTCAGAGTGCCAAGAAGCTCCTTAAAAATATAGAAAAGGGGGGAAAATAAATTTTCATTCTGCTGGGGTGAAATGCAAGCTAGCAGAATGTGACAAACATTTTCTCGTGTTGTCTTTCTGCTTACTCATCTCTTGCAATGCATTTGATTTTAATTTTTGCTAATTCACATACCTGGCTGCATTCTCAGCCCTTTTCTGCATCCTCGCTCCCCGGGTCTTGGGTGCCCAGCCCCTGGCCTGTAGACTCCCCCAAGCAGAGTTGGGTCCTGTGTGTGGAGTCTCTGCTTCTGTCCCTCCTTGGTGCTTTAGAGTCCCAGAATGGTCGAGGTGGAAGGGACCCTGAGGGTCATCTAGTCCCGCTCTCTGGCGAAGAGTCTCTTGCTCTAGCTGGTGAGGCAGCATCCAAAGACGCCCAGGAGACAAGAGTTGCAATATGGATAACTTGGGGACCTTTGGAATGAGTGACCGGTTGAAAATGCTATTAATAATAAAGCTTCTGAATGGTTAGACCAGGCTTTAAGCCTTCTGTGTGATCTGTAGCCTTGCATGCTTTGGGGACAGCTGAAAGAGAGCCGCCTTCTTTTCTGGGTTGTCGGGCTGCAATAACGGTGTGTTCATTTATTCACCACCCCTCCTTTTGGCCCTCCAACTCCAGGAGGCAAGGATCGAGTATCCAGGCTTGAGAGCTTTCTTTAAAAGTTTCCACCTTGTGTGTGGGCACAACCCCCCCCCCCATGCGTGGCTCCCTTTCCCCAAGGCTTGTGTAGGAGACGGTCCCACCCCTTGGTGCCCTCTCTGCCAGTGGCCCATTGCCAGCAAATCCCAAAGGGCAGCCCAGGGGGCAAGGACTGGATCACAAACGGCCCAGAGCCCATCCCGAGAGGAGAATAACTGGTCATGATGGTGCTGTGTTAATTTCCCTGCCTGCCTTTGCTGGCTGTGGAGATTCCCTCTCTCGGCTATTAGTTTCAGTCCAAGCCTTGGGTGTGTCCGCCTTCTCGCCCGAACGGCTCTCCTGTTACGTCATTCTGTGAAATATGCTCTTCTCACCCCACACGCCAGAGTGTGGCATGTTGCAGCAAGTTGTGCAGTAAGCAAAGATTTACTGAGAAAGGGCCACGCCCGTCCTGCATGCTCCGTTTGGGGGAATTATGGATGACTGCAGTGGCCTGAGTAACAGGAGGAGGCTGCCCCTGAATGAAGTCCACAAGCCCCACAACGTCTCCCCAATTATCCCCCCCAAAAAAAAATCTTCAAAAACCAGTTGCTACCTCTGCCCAACAGTAATCTAACATCTGGATGATTGCATAATCTTTGCAAGTTTCTTGTGAAATGGTTGTGTGTGTGTGTGTGTGCGCGCGTGTATGTGTCTCCTGCAGATATTTGCTTGTTTTCTGAACATAGCTCACTATCTCTTGACCTGAACCTACTTTCCATGGTTGTTGTGAGGCTAAAAGGGGGGCAGTTGTTTTTGTTTTGTAACATGTTATAGTAAAAACATATTTGTAAATAATTTTAAGGCCACAGTCCTAATTCTACTGACCTGGGATGAAGCCCCATTCAATTCAGAGTGACTCACAGTGCAATTCAAAAGTTAATTTGGTGAACCAAAATTCTGCAGTTGCTCAGAGAAATTAATAAAAGATTTAAAGTAGATGCATTTCTGAAGTATTTATCAATGGTTGTTTTGCCTGCAGTGGAACATTCCTCTTGTACAGATATACAGTATGGTGTTTTATAAATGTAGAAAATGGCTTCTGCATTTCTCCCCAGTTTCCTGACTTCTAGAATGTGCTTCTGACAAAGCAGGCTTGAGTCCAGCCCACTGAAACTCCTGCTGCAGTAAATCTGATGGTTGCAAAGGAGCCACAGGACTCCTGGTGCCAACACTCAGCAGATATTGGCCACCCTTCAGGAGGGCTGCAATACACCAGCCTTCCCCAACATTGTTCCCTCTTTTTCATACTGCAGTTCCCATCTGGCTGGAGCTAATGCAAATTATGGCCCAACCTGGAGGACACCAAGTATATGTACTGCTAGTTATCAGCAACATCTTTGGAGGCTTTGGGGACCCTGACTCTTCCCTCCCTCCAGGTCCAGAAAGTCATAATAGTGTAGAGGGTAGAAAGTCAGGCTGGTTCAAATCTTGACTCTGTGGTCAACTGAGTGACCCTGGCTCAGCTTAACCTCCTTTGCAGGGTGATCATAGAATGATGGAGACCCTAAGGGTCATCAAACCCAATCCCCTGCAAAGGAGGAGTCTCGACTAAAGCATCCATGACAGACGGCCACCCAGCCTCTGCTTAAAAACCTACAATGGAGAATCCACCACAGTCTTTTCCACTGCCAAACAGTTCTTACCATTGGTAGGTTAAGATAAAAATGGGTGTGGTGAAACCATGCATACTACCCTTTTCTCCTTGCAGGGAGAGAAATGTGGTAATTTTCTCTTTCCTTTGCCTCTAGAGTTGGGCAACTGACATTTGGCTTAGGGGTTTCCTTCTGATGCGTATACCCTTTGATTCTGTGAGATGCCTTTGTGAAGAAACCATTGACCAGTGTAGTTGTGTGAAGCTGCAAGTCACAGTTGACGTGAAATATGGGTGGGAGGGGGATGAAATCTACCCCAGGCTGGCTCATGAGCAGAGCTCTCTTGACTTGTAGGTGCTGGCACAGCCCAGCAACACAGCCTTGCCTCTCCTTTCAGCTAAATAACCAGCACTGCAAAAATTAAAAAGGTTCATTTTTTTAATAGTGCTTTCAAACACTGAGTAGGAGAGCTGGCTTCTCTTCCTGCCTCCTCCTTGCTTTGAACTTAATTAAGTTCTGCTGCAGAGTTTGGCATGATCTCACTCTGGCTTGCTGTCTTTGTGGGTTCCGTTTGCAGCAGTGACTGCCTGCCTTTTCCTGCAAAATACTTATCAAAACGAGAAAGCTTTCAGCAATCCTGTTTTGGTTTAGAGAAGGCCTCCCCCCTTCTCACCGTTCCTGTGGAGGTAGACCTCTTGGGTGCGTCCTTTGGGGCAGCTCTGTGCCTCCCTCTCCTCCTTGCAGCCCCACATTCCTCCATGGCCACGCCCAGCCTTCCTTGGAGACGTGGCTCACACAAGCTCAGGGTTTCCATTCTCTCATTCTGAAGACTTCTGAAACTTGAGCAACACCTTGCTTTTTGTTTTTCTGTTTTTTGCCATCCCCAGGGGGGGCACTCCCTTTCAGGCTAGCACAATGGCCCTGGCCATGCCTAGTGAACAGTTGCCAGGAGCTCCTCTCTCTCCCCTTTTCTTGGACTTGATCTGTGTGTCCAGAGAACACTCCAAAGGCTGGTTCAAGGACTTGGCTGGGGCAGAAGGAAGGTGCCAAACGCAAGACAGAGAGAGGATTGGGGCTTTTTTAAAAAAAGGGTGGCAATGTTTAGTCAATTGATTGGTTACTTACTTATTTCATAAGATTTAAACACCACTCAATTGTTAAAACCCAAAGTGGTTTCCAAAAAAGATAGAAAAGAAGAAGTGCGGGTGTTGCTGTGGGTTAAACCACAGAGCCTAGGGCTTGCCGATCAGAAGGTCGGCGGTTCAAATCCCTGTGACGGGGTGAGCTCCCGTTGCTCGGTCCCTGCTCCTGCCAACCTAGCAGTTCGAAAGCACAAAGTGCAAGCAGATAAATAGGTACCGCTCCGGCAGGAAGGTAAACGCCGTTTCCGTGTGCTGCTCTGGTTCACCAGAAGCGGTTTAGTCCTGCTGGCCACATGATCCAGAAGCTGTCTGTGGACAAATGCCGGCTCCCTCGGCCAATAAAGCGAGATGAGTGCCGCAACCCCAGAGTCGGTCACGACTGGACCTAATGGTCAGGGGTCCCTTTATCTTTACATTTAAGAAGGATTAACAACAATAATTTATGACTTTTCAAAAGTTAAAATAACAGTAAGCTAAAACAGTAAGATAAAAATTTACATCAGCTTTCTAAACATCTAGGGTAGGCTTGACTACACAATACTGTTTTTAGCAGGCACCAAAATGGGTACTGTGAAGGTGCCTGTCTGACATCAATTGGCAGGGAGTTCCAAAGTGTAGGTGGTGCCACACGAAGACATTGAGTTCTTTAAAAATTCAGAGCATGTATTATGTTGGCACCTGAGCCCAGGAGAAGGTGCCTCTTGCAAAGCAATCCAACTTGGATGGCTTTTTTAGAGGACTGGACAGATTCATGTAGGAGAAGGCTATCAATGGCTGTGCTGTGCCTTGCACTCTTGGCTTCTGAATCCCAGCCACAGGAGGGGAGAATGCTCTTGTGCACAGACCCTGCTTGCAGGTGCCCCCCAGGCATCTAG